TTTGGGGGTTGGCTAACAAACTGTCTCCGACCACTAGACCCAAAAAGAACAATCTTGCTTTCATCAGTCCACAAAATGTTGCGCCATTTCTCTTTAGGCCATTCAATGTGTTTGGCAGATTGTAACCTCCTCAGCACATGTAGTTTTTTTCAACAATGGGACTTTGCGGGAGCTTCTTGCCGATAACTTGGCTTCACATAGGCGTCTTCGAATTGTAACAGTACTCACAGGTAACATTAGACCAGCGGTTCTCAACCTGGGGGTCGCGACCCCTTTGGGGGTCGAACGACACTTTCCCAGGGGTTGCCTAAGACCATCGGAAAACACATATTTCCGATGGCCTTAGGAACCGAGACACCGCTCCTTGATCCGTCTGCAGGTGTGGGCGGGATGACATGCCGTCCCTGTCATCTGGACACACCCCCGGGATCAATCCTTCCTCGTCGGTGATTGGCCGCCGGAACTGTAGCTCAAGAGAGGCACACAGACGGCCAATCACCGGCGAGGAAGTGGAGCTTGGAAAGGAGGAGCCGAGCGGCACCGCGAAGCACGAGCGAGTGAAGAGGAGGAAAGCGGCCGGAGAAGGAAGCCATCTGACCGGTAAGTGTTTGTACCATGGGAGAGGGAGGGAGCGAGCGAGCCCAGGCTGGAGCAGGGGTCAGCAAGGTAAGTATCATTGGTGTCAGTGGGAGGAATAGTGCCCAATCATTGGTGTCACTATTACCAACGATGGGGCACTATTCCTCCCCCCACTGACACCAACGATGGGGCACTATTCCTCCCACTGACACCAACGATGGGGCACTATTCCTCCCACTGACACCAACGATGGGGCACTATTCCTCCCACTGACACCAACGATGGGGCACTATTCCTCCCACTGACACCAACGATGGGGCACTATACTTCCCTCTGATACCAACGATGCGGCACTATTCCTCCCACTGACAACAATGTTGGGGCACTATTGCTCCCCCTGATGCCAACGATGGGGCACTATTCCTCCCACTGACGCCAATGTTGGGGCACTATTGCTCCCCCTGATGCCAACGATGGGGCACTATTCCTCCCACTGACACCAATGATGGATGCACTATTCCTCCCACTGATACCAATGATGGGGGCACTATTCCTCCCACTGATACCAATGATGGGGCACTATTCCTCCCACTGACACCAATGATGGGGCACTATTCCTCCCACTGACACCAATGATGGGGCACTATTCCTCCCACTGACACCAATGATGGGGCACTATTCCTCCCACTGACACCAGTGATGGGGCACTATTCCTCCCACTGACACCAATGATGGGGCACTTTTCCTCCCACTGACACCAGTGATGGGGACACTATTCCTCCCACTGACACCAGTGATGGGGCACTATTCCCCCCACTGACACCAATGATGGGGCACTATTCCCCCCACTGACACCAATGATGGGGCACTATTCCCCCCACTGACACCTATGATGGGGCACTATTTCCTCCCATTGACACCAACGATGGGGCCCTATTCCTCCCCCCACTGACACCAACGATGGGGCACTATTCCTCCCCCCACTGACACCAACGATGGAGCACTATTCCTCCCCCCACTGACACCAACGATGGGGCACTATTCCTCCCCCCACTGACACCAACGATGGGGCACTATTCCTCCCCCCACTGACACCAACGATGGGGCACTATTCCCCCCACTGACACCAACGATGGGGCACTATTCCTCCCCCCACTGACACCAACGATGGGGCACTATTCCTCCCCCCACTGACACCAACGATGGGGCACTATTCCTCCCCCCACTGACACCAACGATGGGGCACTATTCCTCCCCCCACTTACAACCAACGATGGGGCACTATTCCTCCCACTGACACCAACGATGGGGCACTATTCCTCCCACTGACACCAACGATGGGGCACTATTCCTCCCACTGACACCAACGATGGGGCACTATTCCTCCCACTGACACCAACGATGGGGCACTATACTCCCTCTGATACCAACGATGGGGCACTATTCCTCCCACTGACGCCAACGATGGGGCACTATTCCTCCCACTGACACCAATGATGGGGCACTATTCCTCCCACTGACACCAATGATGGGGCACTATTCCTCCCACTGACACCAATGATGGGGCACTATTCCTCCCACTGACACCAATAATGGGGCCTATTCCCCCCACTGACACCAATGATGGGGCACTATTCCTCCCACTGACACCAGTGATGGGGCACTATTCCTCCCACTGACACCAGTGATGGGGCACTTTTCCTCCCACTGACACCAGTGATGGGACACTATTCCTCCCACTGACACCAGTGATGGGGCACTATTCCTCCCACTGACACCAATGATGGGGCACTATTCCCCCCACTGACACCAATGATGGGGCACTATTCCCCCACTGACACCAATGATGGGGCACTATTCCCCCCACTGACACCAATGATGGGGCACTATTCCTCCCCCCCACTGACACCAACGATGGGGCACTATTCCTCCCCCCACTGACACCAACGATGGGGCACTATTCCTCCCCCCACTGACACCAACGATGGGGCACTATTCCTCCCCCCACTGACACCAACGATGGGGCACTATTCCTCCCCCACTGACACCAACGATGGGGCACTATTCCTCCCACTGACACCAACGATGGGGCACTATTCCTCCCACTGACACCAACGATGGGGCACTATTCCTCCCACTGACACCAACGATGGGGCACTATTCCTCCCACTGACACCAACGATGGGGCACTATTCCTCCCACTGACACCAATGATGGGGCACTATTCCTCCCACTGACACCAATGATGGGGCACTATTCCTCCCACTGACACCAATGATGGGGCACTATTCCCCCCCACTGACACCTATGATGGGGCACTATTCCTCCCACTGACACCAATGATGGGGCACTATTCCCCCCACTGACACCTATGATGGGGCACTATTCCTACCACTGGCACCAATGATGGGGCACTATTCCTACCACTGACACCAATGATGGGGCACTATTCCTACCACTGATACCAATGATGGGGCACTATTCCTCCCATTGACATCAGTGATGGGGCACTATTCCTCCCACTGATATCAATGACGGGACACTATTCCTCCCACTGACACCAATGACGTGGCACTATTCCTCCCACTGATACCAATGACGGGGCACTGTTCCTCCCACTGATACCAATGACGGGGCACTATTCCTCCCACTGACACCAATGATGAGGCACTATTCCTCCCACTGCAGAATTACAGTTATGAAGTAGCAACGAAAATAATTTTATGGTTGGGGGTCACCACAACATGAGGAACTGTATTAAGGGGTCGCGGCATTAGAAAGGTTGAGAACCACTGCATTAGACCTTCTTTGATTGCCCTGGAGCTGATCATTGGCCAGGCTATTCTTCGATCCATTCGAATGGTAGTTTTCCATTTTCTTCCACGTCTTTCTGGTTTTAGTTGCCATTTTAGATCATTTTAGCTGAGCAGCCTATCAGTTTCTGCACTTCTTTACATGTTTTATCCTTTCCAATCAAGTACGCTGTTCTTCTGAATAATGTCTGGAACAACCCATTTTACTCAGATTTTCAGAGAGAAATGCTTCTATATCCCAGCGTGTACAACATTTGCTGCCTTCATCCTTACATGAGGGCCACTTGTTTGTTTGACACCTGTTTTTTCACAGACTGAATGACTAATTGAACTCCACACAGCTATTATTTTCAACATGCCCCTTTCAATTAGTGATTCAATTACACAGAATCAGCAGCATGCATGTCATGACTGTTGGGTCTGTTGATTTTCTATTACTCTACTACACCTACTAGTAAATTATTTGCCATGTAGAAATATAATTTATACCAAAAACAGTGATTGATCTGGTTAGTGATATTGACAGCTATTATTTGGAACACAACTGTACTAGTGTGGTGTGAACAGGGCACATAGAGAACAGTTGTTTCTTTGTGCCCTTGCAGAACGCATGCAGAAAAACTGATTTCTCTGCACCATGGTGTGAACGAGCCCTTAGTTATATAATTAAATATGGAAATAATATTACAAATCAATAATATACTCTAACAGTACCCTCTCCAGTATCAGTTTATATCTACCAATATGACCATTTTATATTTTCAGTTAGATCTATGCAAATTAACTGTCTCTAAAATCAGCGTCTAGTGATGCGCTCAAATACAAACGGGATCAGCTTAAACATAAGTCACAATTATACTATATACTAATTATACTATGGAGAAGCTGGTTGCTATGGGCTACCCCCTTCCTGTCAGTCACAGTCACCGGTCAGGCACTGCAGATTTAATTTAAAACCCTGGTATTTGTTTGTGGAGAATCGGGACCCGTGATAGGATTTGGCTTACCCCCAGTAAGAGAGAAGACGCACATTTGACCTGTTATAAATTAAAGGTCAACAAATGAAGGCGAGGGTCCAGCTGTAAATCACGGTTGTGGTGCACATTTACTTAAAGCCTTGCAGAACCGGTGGTGCACATTTAATTAAAGCCTTGCAGCACTGGGATAGTGGGCTCACTCACCGGCAGGATAACGCCCCTACTAGCATCTTTGGAGTTGAAGAGACTTTATGGGACTATTGCCTTTAGTCATACTCTATGATGCTGAATTATTTATGTTTACTATAGTAGAATTTTGACTTATATTTAAGGTGATCATGTTTTTTTTTTTTTTTTTTTTTTTTTTTTGAGCAGTGCATGACTTGACACTGATTTTAGTTTGCTATTTCTTTGTGATAAACACACATTGTTTGTGATTACAGCAGCTTAGTATTGTTTTTACACACATCTTCACACACTGGATTTCATTACAAGCAGTGCCCATTTTTATTTATATTTGTAACTTAACTGTCTCTGTTTATTTTTGTTACTGATTGATACAAATAAGTAGTGAATTGAATCAAAATAGCTATCCTGTAGTAAAAAATACTGACCGTGTATGTTTTTTCAGCCGTGACCGTGTGACATGGAGGAGTGCAGATGAACTCACTTGGTTGTACCAGCAACAAGGCGAGAAACAGAAGCTACACAAATGTTTAATGAATCTCTTTGTATCCCAGAATCTCTATAAAAGGTCTGTGTTCAAAAGCTATTCAAGATATACTGAAATGTAGCAGGAAAATATGTGGTGTAATTAAAGATCAAATAGTCCTAATAGCCACACTAAATTAGCATCAGCAATATGCTTGACCGTGTTTATTGAGTGGAAAGGAATTTTACTCACTATGTTCTTTTGTTATTAGAGGACATTTTGCTGAGCTGCTCGGCTATTGGCAGCTTGTGGGTAAGGACAAAATAGCAATGGCTACAGAATACTTTGATGCTTTGAAGCAGTATGAGAAAAATGTGTGAAGGAGAAGAGAGCATGACCTGCTTGGCAGACCTCTATGAAACACTTGGAAGATTTCTCAAAGACCTTGGTCTCCTCAATCAGGTAAGTTGACCTCTTAAATTTGGTTGTAAGGTTATATTTTTTTTCCTAAAGAGGACCTATACTGAAAATCGAAGACTTGCTGTCTTATAGTGGGAATATCTAGTAAGGTTAATTGTAGCTAATAAAATGCATATCCAACCAACTCTTGCCTCTGATGACTGATTTCAAAACACTGTAGTGACAGTTGGCAAAGTCATCACGGTGCTTCTCATTGTTCTCCTGAGAGCCTGCAGGAGAGGAAGCTGCACCTAAGGACCTGTAGTGCAAGGCTTTCCCTACATCCTTCCTAATTTGTCCATTCTCTTTTCATCACTTCACCACCTCTCCTGCTGCCTATTCTGCTTTTGTTGGATTTGTGACTGCTCTACCTCTTGCCTGTTGATCATTCCCCCCACCAGTCATTTTTGTTTATAAGTACAATACTGTCAACAGTAATTATCGGGGGTGGTTCTGACATGAGCAAGCAAAGCCCTGTTCTTCCACCACACAAAGGCAGCATGGAGGAGCCATTGCATGTTCAGCTTGGAATAAAGATTATGACACTATAGTATAGGTCCTCTTTAATTGCTTCCAGTACAGCCCAGATCTGACATTCCTCTCCAAACTCCAAAAATCAGCTTTTTTTTGTTAGAAAACTAATTAGAACCTCCAAACATATATGTTTATTGCAGAGGCCCTAGAGAATAAAATGGTGGGTGTTGCATTTTTTAAGTGCAATTTTTTGGGAAAAAAACTTGAATGACTTTTAATGCACAAAAACACATTATATTACCCAATTGTTTGGTAAAATATAAAAGGTGTTGTTACACTGAGTAAAGAGATACTTAACATATCATGCTTATTAATTACGTACGATCATGGATCTGCGGCAAACTATGGTACCTAAAAATCTCCATAGGCAATGCTTTAAAAGCATTTATAGGTTGTCAGTTTAGAGTTGAACAGGAGGTCTGGTACTAGAATTCTTGCTCTCGCTCTGACGTTTTCAGCAGTATCTCACTTGTGTGGTGCGATTACCATTTACATATGTGTACAGAATCTATGTGCACGTTCGCATTTGCGTGACGGCATATACAGTTTCTGGGAAAACTTTGATAAGCATAATCGCGATCAACTTGGTTAACTGACAGAAAGAGACAAAGGGACATTGTGCTGAATTGTGACCCAGAATAAGAAAACAACTGCTGCAAAAGTGACTGCAGAGCTCAATCATGAAGACTAAGATTGAGCTCTACACTCACTTTTGCAGCAGTTGCTTTCTTATTCCAGGTCACAATTCTGCTCATGTCCTTTTGTCTCTTTTGGTCATTTGACCATGCCGACCGCGCTTATGCTTACCAGACAGCGTTTTCCCAGAAACTGTATACAACGTCATAACCTTTGATACTGTACCTCACGACACAGCCAATAAATTGGCAGCTTTATTCACAGATGTACCAGCTAAGCGGGCATCTACAATTTGCCCTCTTTTGAAGCTCAGTAAGCTCTGACATGACTGTATTACTAGCAGCGCACACAGTGAATGACAAAAGTGAGGCTTTCCACCTGTTAGGTGTCTCATCACACAGCGGAAGCAAAAGAATGTTACATCACTTCCACTTTCAACACAAAACTTGTCATCACTTGTCATCATGTAATGTTTCCATTTTTTTTTTTTTTTTTTTTGTCACCCCTATATGGTGCAATGATCATGTGTTTTATGTGTTACACTGCTTGTGTATAAATCATAATCACAATTTAGATCATCTCAACCAGTGCTATAAGTGTCTTTAGGAGTACCCATGCAGATCCCACAGGTACTTTTACTGGCAGACAGATAACTAGCATTTTCAGAAGGAGATGTCAGCAATGGTAGCTTTTATGTTTCCCTTTCTATTTTAATATCCTGGTAGATATGTTGTTCTACAGTGATACATCTGTTCATTACGATTTCAGATTTTGGTCACAATCTTTCATTATTCCCATTCTTTGTCCTTGCATTAGGCTGTTACACCACTTCAACGCTCACTGGAGATCCGAGAAACTGCTCTAGACCCAGACCATCCCAGTGTAGCTCAGTCTCTGCACCAGCTTGCAGGTGTCTATATGCAGTCCAAAAAATTTGGGAATGCTGAGCAGCTGTATAAGCAGTCTCTGGAGATAAGCGAGAATGCCTATGGCAGTGAACACTTGAGAGTAGCCTGGGAACTGGATGCTCTGGCTGTACTTTATCAGAAACAGAACAAGTAAGAATTACCAGCCTCAAGAACACAATGCAAATATTTTTTTTATGAATAATTTGACTTTGATATGCCACAAATTCATCTTTATTGCACTATTTCTAATACTTTGTTTGTTGATTTCTGTGTTTCAAAGATATGAACAAGCAGAACAGCTGAGAAAAAGGTCATTAAGAATTCGACAGAAAGCAGCAAGAATAAAAGGGAGTATGGTATGAACAGGACATAGTTGCACAACATGTACATAGTTGCACAACATAACACCATTAAGGGCCTCAGTAAGTCTAGGTGCCAGATATAGCTGGTTCCAGTGGCAGACAGCAATTTACATACTTACTGACAGTACCTTTACTCCTCTGTGAAGTTGTACAGGGTTCCCTAGACTCCGAGGCTTGTTAATCGGTGAAATTAATCTTGTAGAGTTACATATTTAATAAACATGCCTACTTTCTCTCATCTAAGGTGTCATCAGTTGGTTTTACAGTTTTTGGGACCCACGTGGTATCCCCTGTGTTTGTTCACAATACACTGCCAGAAGGAGGAAATTTTGTAAAAGTGCTGCCCCATTCAGGGACTGCTAAAGAATAACACCCCATGTTTTCCTGCATGCTGCCAGCCTGAACAACTGTCGTTACCTTTTTAAAGACGTTCTTATGGCAAATATTCCACGTAGCTTTTTTTATTAATATTTTCTACTACAGCTAGAATTCGGTACTGTTTTAACCACTTCCTGTCCGGACACTTTTACCCCCTTCCTGTCCAGGGCAATTTTCAGCTTTCAACGCTATCACACTTTGAATGACAATTGTGCGGTCATGCAACACTGTACCCATATGAATTTTTTACCATTTTTTTGAGACAGATAAAGCTTTATTTTGGTGGTATTTATTCACCGCTGGGATTTTTATTTTTTTTACTATGTAAATGAAATGTCTAAAAATTTTGAAAAAAAAAAGTGTTTTTTTTTTATAAAATTTTGCAAATAAATAATATGTCATCATAAATCTTGGCCAAAATTTATAATTCCGTTATTTTTTTTTAGTAAAAAAAAAAATCCAAATTAGTTTATAACCAAAAATGATAATTTTTAAACATTTTTTTTTACATTTTTATTTTATTTTTTTATATTATTTTTTTTTTTTTTTTTTACATACTGGCACCCTAGCAGTACAGTGTCACCATGGTGACACTGTACTACTTGTGGGGGGTGATGAAGATCTTTTTTTTTTTTTTTTACACTGATTGCTTTTACACCCATATAGGATGTAAAAGCAATCATTTCTCTTTCTCTCTGTCTGCATTCTTGCAGTCATTGAGAAGTACTGAGTGAGCTGTGATTGGTCGCAGCTTGTCACATGGTACAAGGCTGTTGTGAATAGCCTTGTACCATGTGACCTCTGTGATCATTCACAGATTTCACACGTAGTAAGCAATGATGTCACAAGTGACATCTTGCTTACTACTTTGCATGTGATCACTGATTCGCCAATCAGTGATCACATGACCGGGACCTCGTACAGAGGTCCCGTCCGACGATCGGTGTTTCACTGTGTCCGAGGACACAGTGGGCACCGACTTCTCCCAGGGAGCGCGCACAGCTAGAAAAGGCGGGTACCGTTTAGGAACGGCAACCCGCCCCTGGACTGCCACCGCCCTGCCGTTTATAAACAGCAGGCTGACGGCAAGAGGTTAATAGGTTCTTTCTAGAGTCCAACTCTGGTTTTTCACCCCCTTCCCCTGCAGTTGCTTCCCTTCATTTTCCTCCCACCTCCCCTGGAGGTCCCCCAGTCTGTATGCTCTGCTATTTATTTATTATGACTATCTTTTTTGGAAATCTTAAAGTGTTAATAAACCCACAACAGATAAATAATTCCTAGGTTTGTTTTTCTGGGTACTGGGATAAAACCCAAAATACCCAGAGGGCAGCCACAAAAACATGTGGACATGCCTATCTATTCTGTGAAAAAAACTGGTTACTGGTGAGATGAATAGACTTACACATATATTTAAAAAAAAAAAAAAAAAACATTATTTACCACATCATACTGAACACCCAGAGCCAAAAACTTTCTGTGCAGCCAGCAGAATTGGATAAAATTTCCCTACTATCCTGAAAGGAGAAGTCTGTGAAAGAACTAGGTCAAAGGTGCTTTTCTTTTGAACTGAACACAAAAGTAAGTTGTTCCCCACTTTTTATCACTTAGCAGAACAAAACCCACCATTTAACTGTTTTACAGTAGAAAGGTCAAGTTATACATGTTCAATAAATGTTATTAAATTCTTAAAGATGTTCTTCCCTGTGTTTGGAAAAAATTGAAACCGTATTTGTACTATAGCTGCTGACTTTTAATAATAGGACACAAATCTGTCTTGGAATCCAGCGCCATCTTCACTCAAATTTGTTCTTTGCCAGTCCCCAGCGTTGTCATGTTTACTGTGGGCAGCCAGATGCTATTTCCTGCGGCTTCACAGCCAGCTTCCCACTGCGCATGCACAAGCCGCACTGCACATCCTAAAGGATCCCGCAGCCTTCTGGACCTGTGAGACGTCCAAGAAGGTTTCAGGCGGCAGGGAAGGGGGGGGGGGGGGACTTCTGGTAGATCTGCCACAGAAGTGGGAGCTAGTACCTGTCAAGACCAGGTACCTGGTCCCCCCCCTTCCAAAAAATAAGTGCCAAGCATAGATGAGGATGTGGGAGGAGAGCATAAAACAGAACCTCCCCTTTTGGGTGAAGTTCCTCTTTATGCTTACCTATATGATTTATGCAATGTTTTCATTTACATTCTGCCTACTAGCATATGTCCAGTGTATGCTACATTTAAAGCATTCCTCTGTTGATAACCTTCACAGTTGATCTTTTAAGCCCTCAAATGTCTGGAGAGATATCTGGTGAAGTGTGCAGAACCATTGCCATTGCAGATCTAAATAGAGACCAAGATGGCACTGTCCTCAATGGAGAGGAGGGTTTAGTTCCGCTTAAGTGCTTAAGGATGTGCTGTATAGATGCTGGCATTGGGGTGTAGAGATAGTCCACTGTTGAGTATACAACACACTGATCTTGTCAGTACTATTATTTTTATTGCTTCCCCCCACCCCCTCCCTGCTGGGAGAACACAATAGCTCCTTGGGAGGGATTCCCCCATCAATACTAATGTATTGATGGGGGAATCAAGCGATTTTCTTTCTGTAGTTGTAGAAAAGAAAAACGCATCATCTATGGCTGACTTAAGAGTGCTTCAACTCATAAGTACTCAATGGAAAGTGCTTATCTTTCCCAGCAGAACTCTAACACTTGTTCTTTTTTACTCTTCAGTATGGGTTTGCATTATTAAGGCGTCGTGCTCTTCAGCTGGAGGAACTAACGCTGGGCAAAGACACTGCTGACAATGCTCGAACGCTGAATGAACTTGGAGTTTTGTATTATTTACAGAATAACCTTGAGTAAGTATTGATTCTTGACATGAAGAAGTCATTTTGGCCTACTTAAAATTCAGCAAAAGGCTCTTTACTATCTGTCACATTAATGTTTGTGCATTTCAGCAGCCTGATAATTTTTTGTTTATCAAGTTCAGAATCAGAGTAGAGAAAAATGTTTGCAAAATCTATTTAAAAAAAAAAGAATGGCTTGATCAAGAGAAGAAGCCTTTCTTTTCTAAGGGCATTAAGTGCAATTTTCTATTTGATGATGTTACTGCCCTTTTTTAGAACAAATATTCTAGACTCGACACAGACTTTTCTCAACTTGCAAAGTCTACTGACCTGTCCTTTGAAGACATGGGGATGCTTAAGGACTGCATGAATAAAAGGATGGACCTGCTTGTAAAGCGAGGTTGGGAATCCATATTTACTAACTGCAAGCTGGCTCTTGCTACTACTTGTGTGGCCCATAATCTTGAATAATTGCTGACGGAAATGCAACCACATCTGGAAGCAGGTGTACACCAAGACAGAAGAGATGTGGGAATTTTCTCCCACATAGAGGGGTTTATCACTGATGCCTAAGCAGAGTTAATCTGCCTATACATGGATTGCAGTTTGGCTGGTTCAGCAGGGACTGGCTAAATTTCGATCCAATTTCTGTTGTTGCACAGAAGTCGGTGTACCGATTGATTTCTGTTCAACCACCTTGTTGGATTTTAGCTGCTCGATCCCTGCTGTCAGAATACAAAGACACAGTGGGGAAGATACCCCCACCCATCTTGAAGCTTTGAATGGGGGAATCGGGTTTTTTTTTTTTTTTTTTTCAAACCGTTGGGTAGAATGAAAAAAAAACTGACTCCTCTATGGCCAGCTTTACTAAGAACATTTGCTAAATCTGCAGCTCTCACCAGCTTTTTCCCACACAGCCTTATGGCTCAACATTTGGCTCAAAGATCATGCTGTAGAAGTTCACCTTTTGTGGCATTACCTTTTCCAGAGATTTGCTGTTTGGCCCTGATTTAGAAGTAGTGGAACATACAGCTGATAGAAGGCCTTTTTCCATAAAAGAAGAAAAAGGCATTTTTTTTATAAAACAAAAAACCAAGGGCAGAGGTCTGAGGAAGTTAAACATGGCCAGGCCAAAAAACAAGTCAAAGGAGGGTGTTTTATTTATCCTATTAACTTGCTTGTGGTAGTAAGGTTGGGACCCTTCCTGTCACAATGGCAAAGGCAAACCTTAACATTTATATTTGGAGGATCATAGGAGAAGGCTACCTTCTGGAGTTTTCATATATGCCATCTTCAAAGTTTTTTCTGGCAACTTCTTCCCTAAAAGATCTCAGGAAAAAGCCTTGGATTTGATATTGCTGCTATCGGAGCTAGTGTATGAAAAATCATTGATACCTGTACCTATATTCCAGTGGCAGTACGCTGGGAAAGGATAAGACACTTCCAGTTCATAGCTCTTCCATTTGGTCTATCCTTGGCACCCAGGATACTCATAAAGGTGATGACCGAGGCCTTGGCATCCCCGAGACTTCATGGAACTTCTGTAATCCCATACCTAGAAATCTTCTCTTCTTTGCCATCTTGGGGGATCAACTGAAGATAGATCTGCCAACAGTCCTGACCTATCTTAAGCATTGAGGTTAGATTATAAATTTAGGACGTACCTGTCTGACTTTTTCTCAGAGGAAAAGATTAAATTTAATGGCAGCTCTTCAAAAAAAAAAAAGCTAGTCTCCGTCCACATTGCAGTGTTGGTAGTAGGTCTGAATTCATTATTTATTCCAGCAGTCCAGTGGGTGAAGTCCCACCTGCAGATTCTCTGGTGCTTCTTGCGGAAGGTATGGGACTGAATTCAGCCTTCCCTAGACAGCCTGATTATTCTTCTTCCAAAAGTGAAGATTCATCTGATAGTGGAAAGAGAAACTCAATGTCTTGATGAGACGTCTGTGGTCCTTTCCTGTGTTCTAGAGACTTACAACAGATTCATGTGGCTGGGGGCAAACTAAGATGGGAAATTAGCTCAGGGCTCCTGGTCCAAATTGAGTCCAGGAAGTCCTTCAACTGGAGAGGGTTGAGAGCAGTTTGGGAAGCTCTGCAAACCTTTCAACAAGATCTAAGGTGTCAACATCTCCAGGTTCTGTCCAACAATGCAACAACTGTGGCATTCCTAAACAAGCAGGTAGCTTATCCCTGTTTTATCTGGCAAACAAGATAACTGGCTTGTATCTCCTTTCTTTTTTGGAAGTCCAGCTCAAGGGGACTCTCAAGTCTACTTGCCAGTTGTTTGATTTGTCCTCCATTTCAGGAATCAAAGAATTCTGAGTCCGTGAGTATTTCTTATGGTGGTAGAGAAGTGGGGGTCCTCACAAATTGATCTGTTTACCAACCAGTTAAATGCAAAAGTGGAAAATTTATTTTTCTTGAGCTTTTTGGAGGTTGCTTTTGGTTTAGTGTTAGCACAACCTTAGGAATTTTGCCTTTGCTATGCATTCCTTATTTTTAAGATCCTGCTGCACGGTTAACAAATTGAGAAAACTAATACCACTCTAATGCAATTGGCTCCGTTTTGGACAAAAGGGCCATGGTTCACCATGCACTTTTGCTTAATGGCAGCTCCTCATCTGAGTTCTTTACTCTGCAGTTAAAACTTAAGATTGCGGCTTGGTGTCTTTAGAAAAGCTGTTGAAAAACAAAGGTCTATCAGACAAGGTGGAATGAACCCTTCTTTCCAGCAGGAAGAAAGTCACCAGGGCTATTTGTGGCAAAACCTAAAAAGTATTTTCTGCCTGGTGTCAGTAGATGAGTTTGTAGGGATTCCTTCCACCTTAGAATTTCTTCAGGATGGTGTCAATCAAAGACTTGCTGTAAAGTATCCTTAAAGTACAGGTTGCAGCATTGAGTGTTTTTTCTGGAGATAAGATTAGCTACAAAATCTCTTCTGTCTTTGAAAAAAGTTGAGAGTTCCATTACCTTTTGTACCACTAGCCCCTCCCTCCTAGATTGTAAGCTCCAAGGAGCAGGGCCCTCCTTTCCCTCTTGTATGGAACTGTATTGTTGCTGTATTGACTCCCGTTATATTGTAAAGTGCTGAACAAACTGTTTGTGCTATATAAATCCTGTATAATAATAATTAAACTTGTGTGAGATGTTACTTGGAGAAGAGACAGCTGATTCACCTAAGAAAGCCATACTTGCTAACCCCTGCTTGGCTATGGAAATACTTTATGTATAGACTGCAGGGCTGCTGTTAGAAACCACGGGGCCCCATACAGTCAACCTGATAGGGCCCCCCCCCCCCAAAAAAAAAGTTTACTATGTTTCCATTGTAATGGACACAGTGGGTGATCGGTATTGATCACTCATTGTGCTCATTCAGGAAAGGAAGGGGCAGGTAAATGTGACATATTTACAGGACCCTTCCCCCACTCTCCATCATGAAGGATCCTATTATGTGCTTGCAACTGCCGGTGGGAACGAAAGGAGGGAGGCCAGCAGGACTGCAGGGGTGGGGGCACACAGGGGGGGCTTGGGCAGCAGGGGGAAATGTATGGTGCACAGGCAGGGTGATGGGTGTACCGGGGGGAATTACTGAAACCGATCCTGTGTATTGCTCTCTCTGCAGCAGCTGAAAGCCAGCAGGAGGGAGGAGAGAGGAGAAGAAGCCAACTTTCAGCTGCTTCGGAAAGAACCATACAGGGGATTGGTTCAAGTAACTTCCCCCCCACCATGCCGATCACCCTCCTGCACACATCCAATTCCCCCAGATGCCTGAACCCCCCTGCTGGCCTGGGCCCCGTACAGGAGGACCAGTGGTACCCCCTTATCCATGGCCTAATAGACTGACTAATGGTACAATTAAAGAAGTGTGAGTATATAAACTAGACTCTGATGCTAGAAATGTATATCTAGTGTCTTTAATGTTATTGTGATGCAAGGTCTTTGTTATTGTTTCACATTTTTGTCTCCTGCCTAATATAGAACAGCGGAAATGTTTCTTAAACGTTCACTGGAAATGAGGGAGCGGGTTTTAGGTCCAGATCATCCAGACTGTTCCCAGTCTCTCAATAATCTGGCTGCACTATATAATGAGAAGAAGCAATACGACAAGGCGGAGGAGTTGTATGAGAGAGCATTAGATATAAGGAAGAAGAGAGCTCTGTCTCCAGACCACCCGTCTTTGGCCTATACCGTGAAACATTTAGCTGTGCTGTATAAAAGAAAAGTAAGTAAACCTTGTGAATTTATTCCACAAGACTAAGCCCTGGTTCACACCGATGCTGTGCGGAATTCGCAGCGTTTTCAGTGCGAATTCCGCACCGCATCAGAATCGCACCCCTTTCATGCGAATTGCTGCGGTTGTGTATGTTAAGTTAACAACACCCCGAAAGCGGCCCGCAAAACATGGTGCGATGTTCAAAATCGGATCGCATAGGTGTGAATACCTATGCTATCCGATTCTACTGCGGACCCAAAAAGTGGTCCTGCACATTTTTTTGGTGCGAGTGCGGTGTGAATAGAGCCATACAAAATGTATGGCTCCGATCGTACCGCACACAAATCGCATGTGATTTGCACAGGAATGCATTGCAGTTCCTGTGCGAATCATATGCGGTATATTGCACCACACATATGTGAACCCGGGCTAAAACCATGCCATTATAGAATACAATAAGCTTTGTAATTCAACTGGAGCAAATAAAGTCAGAGTGGTTACAAATAAGAGAAAGCATTAACAGTGACCAACAGTGTGCAACCATTCACAGCCACTCAGCTTCCAGGTAATGAAAGTCACACCAGTGAAAGAGAAATTGAATTTTTGTAGTTTTGGATAGACTGGGGAAGAGTTAGCACCTGTGTTAATTTTTAATTGCTATCTCAGATTTCCATTCAGTAACTAAAGCTGGCCATAGATGGACTATCGGCCGGTTCAGCAGGGACTGGACAAAATTCTATCCATCTATGGGCAGGCTGGTTGTACTGAAGTTGATCGATAAGCCTGTCAGATCTTTTTCATGGGATCACTGCCGATGGCTATAGCTTCCAGAAATGATCATTGTGTTCTGCCGGCAGCGAAGGCTCCCCCCTGGCAGAATGCAATAGCGGTGTGTGAGGGAAAAACACAGTCAATGTTGATGGGGGAATTGAGCAATTTTATATTTTCTTCCACCCGTGGTAGAAGGAAAGAAAATTGTGTGATCTATGGGCTGCCTAAATGAATTGTAAAAACTCCCCCTATGAAAATTATACGAATTAGTAGGATATTTATTTTATTTCAGGTATTTCTATAGTGCCGTCAATTTAAGCAGCACTTTACATACAGTTGTGTTCAGTCAGACCTAACTAACCTGATCAATCACTGTTTTTGGTAGAAATTATATTTCTACATGGCAAATAATTTACTAGCAGGTGTAGTAGAGTAATAGAAATCCAACAGACCCAACAGTCATGACATGCATGCTGCTGATTTTGTGTAATTGAATCACTAATTGAAAGGGGCATGTTCAAAATAATAGCAGTGTGGAGTTCTATTAGTGAGGTCATTCATTCTCTGAAAAACAGGTGGCAATTATTGCCCTTATTTAAGGAAGGAAGGCAGCAAATGTTGTACATGCTGGTTACAGTGCATTTCTCTCTGAAATTCTGAGGAAAATGGGTCGTTCCAGACATTTGTTCAGAAGAACAGCGTACCTTGATTAAAAAGTTGATTGGAGAGGGGAAAACATATAAAGAAGTGCAGAAAATGATAAGCTGCTCAGATAAAATGATCGCAAATGCTTTAAAATGGCAACCAAAACCTGAAAGACGTGGAAGAAAGCGAAAAACTACCATTCGAATGGATAGAAGAATAGCCAAAATGGCAAGGACTCAGCCAACAATCAGCTCCAGGAAGATCAAAGAAGGTCTAAAGTTACCTGTGAGTACTGTTACAATTAGAAGACGCCTATGTGAAGCCAAGCTATCTGCAAGAAGCCCCCGCAAAGTCCCACTGTTGAAAAAAAGACATGTGCTGAAGAGGTTACAATTTTCCAAAGAGCACATTGACTGGCCTAAAGAGAAATGGCGCAACATTTTGTCTACTGATGAAAGTAAGATTGTTCTTTTTGGGTCTAGTGGCCGGAGACAGTTTGTCAGACGACCCCCAAACACTGAATTCAAGCCACAGTACACTGTGAAGACAGTGAAGCATGGTTGCGCAAGCATCATGATATGGGGATGTTTCTCATACTACGGTGTTGGCCCTATTTATCGCATACCAGGGATCATGGATCAGTTTGAATACATCAGAATACTTGAAGAGGTCATGGTGCCTTATGCTGAAGAGGAAATGCCCTTGAAATGGGTGTTCCAACAAGACAATGACCCCAAACACATCAGTAAACGTGCAACATCTTGGTTCCAGACCAACAAGATTGACGTTATGGAGTGGCCAGCCCAATCCCCGGATCTTAATCCAATAGAAAACTTGTGGGGTGACATCAAAAATGCAGTTTCTGAGGCAAAACCAAGAAATAGAGAAGAACTGTAGAATGTAGTCCAATCATCCTGGGCTGGAATACCTGTTCACAGGTGCCAGAAGTTGGTTGACTCCATGCAACACAGATGTACAGCAGTTCTCAGAAACAGTGCTTATACAACTAAATATTCATTAAGTGATTCAAAGGAAAGTAAAATCTTCAAACATTTTTCAGTTTATATAGTGAATGTTTGAGTTTGTAAAGAAGAATACAAACACTGCTATTTTTTTTGAACAGTCTAATATTCACTTTTCTTTAATTTTTTTAGAGTAACAACACACATTTGATCTATTTTTCTTCACATTTTGATTTGGAATAGAATGTGTAGTGTTCCCAATGTATTTGTGTGTATGGAAATAAAAGCTATTAGAAGGATTTTGAGCTTTATTCACTTTTTTCAACACACTACTATTATTTTGAACACAACTGTGTATATATATATATACAGTCATGGCCGAAATTGTTGGCACCCTTGATATTTCTCCAGGAAATCATGTATTTCTCACGAAACGTATTGCATTAACACATGTTTTGCTATACACATGTTTATTCCCTTTGTGTGTATTGGGACAAAACAAAAAAAGGGAGGAAAGAAAGCAAATTCGACATAATGTCACACAAACCTCCAAAAATGGGCTGGACAAAAGTATTGGCACCCTTTCACAACTGCGGATAAATAAGAATGTTACAAGCATGTGATGCTCCTGTAAACTCACCTGGGGCAAGTAACAGGTGTGGGCAATATAGAAATCACACCTGAAAGCAGATAAAAAGGAGAGACGTTCACTTAACCTTTGCATTGTGTGTCTGTCTGTGCCACACTAAGCATGGACAACAGAAAGAGGAGACGAGAACTGTCTGAGGACCTGAGAACCAAAATTGTGGCAAAATATCAACAATCTCAAGGTTACAAGTCCATCTCCAGAGAACTAGATTTGCCTTTGTCCACAGTGCGCAACATTATCAAGAAGTTTGCAACCCATGGCACTGTAGCTAATCTCCCTGGTCGTGGACGGATGAGGAAAATTGATGAAAGATTGCAACGCAGAATAGTCCGGATGGTGGTGATAAGCAGCCCCAAACATGTTCCAAAGACATTCAAGCTGTCCTGCAGGCTCAGGGAGCATCAGTGTCAGCGCGAACTATCCGTCGACATTTAAATGAAATGAAACGCTTGGCAGGAGACCCAGGAGGACCCCACTGCTGACACAGAGACATAAAAAAGCAAGACTACAGTTTGCCAAAATGTACTTGAGTAAGCCAAAAGCCTTCTGGGAAAACGTCTTGTGGACAGATGAGACCAAGATAGAGCTTTTCGGTAAAGCACATCATTCTACTGTTTACCGAAAACGGAATGAGGCCTACAAAGAACAAAACACAGTACCTACGGTAAAATATGGTGGAGGTTCAATGATGTTTTGGGGTTGTTTTGCTGCCTCTGGCACTGGGGTGCCTTGACTGTGTGCAAGGCATCATGAAATCTGAGGATTACCAAAAGATTTTGGGTCGCACTGTAGGGCCCAGTGTCAGAAAGCTGGGTTTGCGTCCAAGATCCTGGGTCTTCCAGCAGGACAATGACCCCAAACATACGTCAAAAAGCACTCAGAAATGGATGGCAAAGAAGCGCTGGAGAGTTCTGAAGTGGCCAGCAATGAGCCCAGATCTAAATCCCATTGAAACCTGTGGAGAGATCTTAAAATTGCTGTTGGGAAAAGGTGTCCTTCCAATAAGAGAGACCTGGAGCTGTTTGCAAAGGAAGAGTGGTCCAAAATTCCGGGTGAGAGGTGTCAGAAGCTTATTGATGGTTATAGGAAGCGACTGATTTCAGTTATGTTTTCCAAAGGGTGTGCAACCAAATATTAAGTTAAGGGTGCCAATACTTTTGTCCAGCCCATTTTTGGGGTTTTGTGTGACATTATGTCATATTTGCTTTTCTGCCTCTGTTTTATATTTGTTCCAATACATACAAAGGGAATAAACATGTGTATAGCAAAACATGTGTTAATGCAATACCTTTTTTTGTGTGAAATACTTGATTTTCAGGAAAAATATCAAGGGTGCCAACAATTTCGGCCATGACTGTATATATATATATATATATGTGTGCATATATATATATATTATATATATATAGTGGAAGGCAGTCCATAGTTTTGTGTTTAGGTGTTTATTGGATTTTTTCCTCCAGTTTAGCAATATATTCACTTACACTATAAGTATCCTTTTTCCCTGAAGGAGAAATAAGTGTGTGTGAGTGCGATCTCGATGATTTCAATGTAGACTTTTGGAGGAGATCCTAGGATGGTGAAATACCATCCATATGTAGAATGTTAGAATACAGAGAAATGAAAACTGTATTACCATCAATATGGCTGTTAATATGCAAAGATTTAGGAGCCCGTGTGGTCAAGATGGTTCTCTCAAAAAGTAATCCAGGGACAGTTATGAAGGAGGTTAGTAGTGTTCTGAATATAGCTGGATGTATTTCTTATTATGAGCTTCTGGATATATTCTACTTAGCTATGTTAGTGATACTGTACCAGATTAGTGTTAGGCTGCCCAGGGATTCCATTCTTTTGTAGTTTGGGTATCATGTAAAAAGCTTCCGTGTTGGATATGAAATCCATGATGTGAAATGGTTATGAATAAA